CCCTATTATCAAGTGGTTTGCATATCCATGGCATAGCACTGTAAGATTTTATTTTCCCATTTATGGCAAGAGTTAAAATGAGTTACATGACATTTTTTTCACACTCTTCTATAAAATAGATTTTTCCATTGCATGTTTAGTTATTAAATTCCATTTTTATGATTGCTTATATCAATTGTTATTGCTGAATTCAAAACAGTTAAGAGAGAAAGTGTTTCTCTCAACTTATAAAGTATCAATGAAGTTTAAATTAAACATAAGTTTCAAACACTAACTAGCTGCCATTTTGCCAGATACAATGAATAAAATGTGAATAAAACTCAGTTCCTTCCCTGAGGATGTTTGTGTTCTAGGGCTGTTACCTTTGACTACAATTCACTGTTGTAGTGAGAAACAAATCTGTTAAATTAAATGTTATCAGCTTTTGGGAAATTACTTCCTATTTGTGAATTCACTGGACATTTACAAAAGCCTACAATGTATCAGATGCATTATTAGGTACAGGAGACACAAAGATAAATAAAACATAGTTGCTGTACCCAAGGAGACTATAACTTTGTTCACAATTTAAACACTATTAATATATAATTATACTGCATTATATATTAAGATATAATTAATACATATATATTAAGGTATATATTGATGGCATAACTAATAAAAATAATGAATGCTTATATGTGTTAGACACAATATTAAGAGCTTTGCATATATTATACCTGATGAGGTAGTTGTATCATTATGATTACCATTTTCAGTTGAAGAACTTGAGACACAGATATTGAATACCTTAAACAGCTAGTACTGTTGTTCTAGAATTTGGACCCAGGAAGTCTACTTCCAGAGTAAGGAAGGGAAAAAGCAATGATAATTAAGCAATAGCTATCATAGTAGTTTAAGCAAAATTATGAAGAAAGAACAATTCACTCTTCTTGAGGTAATTGGAAATGTCTAAATAAGGAAACCAAGATTAAACTGAATTTTAAAAAATAAATCTACCTGTATTTATTTTTCTTTTTTTGAGATGGAGTCTCACTCTGCCACCTAGGCTGGAGTGTAGTGGCAGTATCTTGGTTCACTACAACCTCCACCTCCCAGGTTCAAGCGATTCTTCTGCCTCAGTCTCCCAAATAGCTGGGACTATAGGTGCGCACCACCATGCCCGACTAATTTTTTTGTATTTTTAGTAGAGGCGGGGTTTCACCATATTGGTCAGGCTGGTCTTGAACTCCTGACCTCGTGATCCTCCTACCTCAGTCTCCCAAGGTGCTGAGATTACAGACGTGAGCCACCGCACCCGGCCTCTATTTATTTTTCAAGTTATAAGGCTATACACATGTATCACATGTATCATGGTTCCACTCTTGTTACAAAAAATATATATGCCTCACAATAAAAGTAGTATTAATTTAAATCCCCACTAACTTCTTCACTTCTTAGATGTGTTCCTAGAAATGTTAAAACTTCTACATGCTTTAACATTTCTCATATATTAAAAGAGGATAATAATACCATATTTGAAGATCTCACTGCCAAGTATCTATTAGTGCTATATTTTTAAAAATGGCTACTAGGCAATAGCAAGGAATATGAATTAACACCCACTTTCAGATTCCATGTTTTGAACATGTGGTCCCAAAGCCAATGTTTTATAATTATGGTCACCATATGTCTGGATTTTGAGATCTATTACTAATTTCAAATAACCATTTTAATTCTTTAATATTTTTTAAATTACGAATTAGAAAAAAGAATTTTCAACCATATGTCAAATGGCATAATCATTGTACTTAAACATCTGTGACTGTACAATATGAGATGACCTGGCTCTCCAACTGAATTAAATACTGAAAAATGCTAACTTTCTCTTTTTTTGTTCTGCTGTCAGTGGGCTATTGACTCAGGCCAGGATTTTCATAACCATTTCTAGTGGACACCTGCCCTTTCAATCTTTTAACATGTTTCATCTGTGCCTCTTTCTAAGAATACACACTTTTAGAAGTGGGAATCTCACATTATATGTTGCCGCTCATTAATTTCAATTGAGTAGGTCTCATTTCTTTTCCAAAAATTCTAGGAAAACTCATTACATTCCTCTATAAATTGACTATGGATCACATTTCTTCTATGAAATAATATGATTAGAAAAAGTAAAGTATTATAAATAATCTGATATGATTACTCATGACTTGGTGAAAATCAGGAATATGGTTTAAAAAAAACTGTTTTGAGAGCCCCTGACTTTAAGATAGACTAGCTGTCCCCCCAGTGTCTGTGCCTAAGAATGGATAGCTGCTGACAACTGCATTAAGAATGGCATAGGGTCAAGGTTATTATGATTTCTCGTGATCTCGTTATTAACCAAGAAAAGAATATATTGTAGAGGGGAAAAATGGAATTTTTGTATGTCAGCCACAGATCTGAGGAATCTGGCATACATTCTGGGTTCTTAGGTAAAACCCAGTAAAAGTGACACAAAATGAACCTGTGTACCACACACTCTCTAAACTTCAGAATGTTGCTTTAGCAGCCTGATTGGGTGACAACTACTGGTGAATTCTGATTTGGAAAACAAACCAAAATTAGCATACAAGTCTTCTAAATTGTATTAGAAATTTTGTTCTTTATATATAAATATTCCAGAGGCACATTCTTTGGATAATTTAAAGATTAACTCCTTCACAGATTGGCAATAGGTCTGACTTCCCAGGCTCACTCCAGTTGATAATGACCATCTGGGACCAATGTTGCCAGGATTCAGGCAGGATGCTTGGGCTTAGGCAGGAAGCTTGCCAAGCAATGTGGGCCAGAGGCACGCACACTAGGTGCATGTGGTCCTGATCCTCAGCTCACCTACTGTGTCCTAAAGCACAAGATGCTGTCCAACCATTTTTCTCCACTTGATGTGAGGAAAATCAAAGAAAACATACCCAGAATACTACATATAGGATGTTTTTCTGTGGAAGGAATTTAAACTTGGATAATCTGTGATTATAAGAAAATAGTCAAACTGTTGTTAGATATTTAATATCAGTGTAGCTATGGGGAGAACACACGATTTGTTTTTTCTCATTTAAAATGAAATCATTGTAGAATGAATAAATTTGTTTTAAGGGAGAACATTTTAATATAATTTTACATAACTTTCACATTGCCTTTTTTCCAAGAGTTCAATACTTGAAAGATGAACTTGATGAAATATTTAAATGTGTATATTTATAATATATTAAAAGTGACATATTTAGACTTACTAATGCAGCATTTTATCTGCCCAACTAAAGGTGACATCAACTTCTATCTCTTCTGGACAGTTGGTACAACTTGGGACTTTAAACCTGGTAATAGAGTGGTAGCTGGGAAGTCAGGATGTGAATAAGAGACATGGTGAGTGGGTATGGGCTCTCTATGACATAACATTTTAAAGGCAATTCAAAGTATATTTATAAGAGTCTTTGAAATTCAAGGCATATTCTTTGAAAATAATAGAAACTCTGTAACTAGATTTAAATAAGAAAAATGTAATTATAAATTTAAGATCAGTTCAGCCAAAGGAAAATGAAACTCATCAAGCAAGAGCACTTAAAATGATTTTTGTTTATGTTTTCCCTTTTCAAGTATATAACAAAATTTGGATGAGGGTATTTTTCCTTATCCAAATGAGTATTATTGACGCTTGTGTGTCAATAATATTATTAAGTTGTTTATATTTCTGAAATCTAATGCCAGGAGAATAAATGCTAACATCTCTATCACATAAATTAATAGGAAATGATGCTGTAATGATCAGGAATTGTGAATGATCAGATAGATCAAATGTTTCCAGAAAAATATGGGGTTTTTTTCAGGAAAAAATTCCAAACTATTGTTGAAAAACAAAAAGTAGTGAAAGTATGACTATCATATTCAGGTGATGTCTGTTACTCACATGTGGCACATCATCACCTCACTACAAACTCTCATGCTGTCAGAGTTGTGGTGACTACGCTTTGAGAAGACAGAAGTAAAAGTTGATTTTAGTAGTAGAGAGAGTTAAAATGCTGCACACCTAAGTCATAATAAACCACTTTCAATGTATTATATATGAACAGTGTGTTTTAAAAGTCCTCATTTTTATACAATGATATATGCATTACATAATTTATACATTCAAACACCAAACACTGGTAAAAACATGGTCTTGTAAATTTGTACAGCTAACTAGAGAGATTCTGCCTGTGCCAATAAGGGAACAAACAAAGAATAAGCTTTTTTTAATTCATGGAAAGAAAAAAGATAATGATGACTTGAACTTCCCCCACTAGCCTCTGTGAACATGGAACACAGCTGAAAATATAACTTTCCTCAGGTGCCTGAAAGATTTGCAGGATTTATAGAAATTCAGCAGGGGAACACATTAAGTGTGTTTCCGGCAGCAGGAAGCTTCTGTACTTTATGGCTTTCTCCTATGAAAGTATATTCCTCAGAAGATATATTTTAAGTTACATAAATCTAAAAATATACAAGTAGCATGTTTTTATTAGAGGCGAATACAGGAGTCTCTCTGTAAAATATGCTTTGATTTTCTTCATCCCCTATATTTTCTATATTGAGAAATAGATATTGGCCGGGCGCGGTGGCTCAAGCCTGTAATCCCAGCACTTTGGGAGGCCGAGACGGGAGGATCACGAGGTCAGGAGATTGAGACTAGCCTGGCTAACACGGTGAAACCTCGTCTCTACTAAAAAAAATACAAAAAACTAGCCGGGCGAGGTGGCGGGCGCCTGTAGTCCCAGCTACTGGGGAGGCTGAGGCAGGAGAATGGAGTGAACCCGGGAGGCGGAGCTTGCAGTGAGCTGAGATCCGGCCACTGCACTCCAGCCTGGGCGACAGAGCGAGATTCCGTCTCAAAAAAAAAAAAAAAAAAAAAAAAAAAAAAGAGAAATAGGTATTACTTCTTAAAATAATTCCATAACAAAGCCATTCAGTATTTTTTCAAATAACTCGAAATTTCACAATGTTAGTTGCAGTCAAACATTTAATATCACAGGGGAGACATAAAAGAGATTCTCAATTCATTTTCGCTGAAACAAGGAGAGTATTTATAACCTTCCAAACAAGAGATCTGGAAATAGCACTGCTTGAATAATGGTATGGCAAAGCTCTAGATTCAGTTCTCTGCATGTTCAACTCTACCTTCCTTGACATGTTGGTTCATTCTAAATCTCACAGCAAGAACATTGCTACAGTTCCAAGAATCAAATCCACTGATAATACAGGACACAGGGCAACTAGAAAGTGCAACAGCCTCCCCAACGTGTTATCTTCATAGTTTCAAGTCATTCTTTAAACAATTACTCTGAGAAAGAGATGAGAAAGAATGAGAACCACACACATGTTGAGGAATCAAACTCCACAACTTTCATCTCTTAGCCCTTGCCTAAGATACTAGGATTGGAACTTTCTTGGGAAGAAACCCGGGGCTATGAAAGTAAATTTAATAAACACCATGTATATGTTCAAAAGGAAATGGTTTTATTTTTCACCTATCAATCACTTAAAAAAAATCTCTTTTCCAAATGGAAATAGTTAATAAATAATCTACGATAACTAACAAGCAATAGCATCTGAAAGACAACCAAGACCCTGTTTTTAATAAAAACTTGCTCTGGGCTGATTTAGTAAAACCTAAAGTCTAGGATCTTGAATGCACCATGTAAGACTTGTATTTAAGTTTTTATTGTCATAGTCAATATGATAAGCTACTATCTAACATAGTTATTATATTTTGCCTTACTTTGCACAAATGACTCTATGTAGAACGTGTGTTTTCAGGTTTTGGTACATTGAAAACAGAAGTTTTAGAAAGTGAATGATATATGTCTTAAAAACTTCACTAGAAAAGTGCTTGGAATAAAAGCATGATCTAATAATAGGGTATATAGGTTTTCATTAACTAGCTAGGGAGATTCCATCTGTGTCAACAGGGGAGCAAACACAGATTAACCTTTTTCTTAATTCATGGAGAAAAAAGAATGAAAACCTGTATTTTTTCAAACTACCTCTTTCTAAACAGTGAAAACAGCTGAAGATATAATTTTCCTCAGGCCTTTTTGAAAGATATGTGGAATTTACAAAAATTCAGCAGGGGATCGTATTAAATATGTTTCCATCAGCAGGAGTATTCTGTATTTTATGGTTTTCTCCTATGCAAATATTAAAGTTGAAGGCAAGTACATGAAAAATTGTTCATAATTTTAAAGGAAACCTTGAACTGATAGCCACATTCCTCCCTTTTGTGGGAAGAAATGAGCTTTCATTATACCTTAGGTTTTGATCTAAACATTCTTCTTGCTTTGAGAAGACAGAAGTAAAAGTTACTATTAGTAGTATAGGGAGTTAAAATGCTAAGTCATAATAAGCAACTTTCAATATATTATATATGAGCAGTATGTTTATACATGTCCTGATTTTTGTACAATGATATATACATTTTATAATTTATACATTCTAACAGTGAATGCATATATTCAAATACTTGAAGCAGTATTTTTAATATGTCATTTGAGAAGCAAAACAAGAAAAAAGTAAATGAAAGTGTAAAATCAGGAAGGTGTTTTTGTATTTCGTTTTTTAACTGTGTTGCTTGTTGTAGAAAGAGAAATATGTATGACAGAGTGTAATGGTAATGGCAGATAGGAGTGATTTTAAAAACATCAGTGTCCCTGGTACACTATGCCACATAGTGGTAGCAGTGAGAGCGAAACAAAAGCACCAGTAAATGAAAATCCTCTCTAGTTTGGTGCTTAAACCCTAAAGAGATCAGCGGATAATTTTAGGGTCTCAAATTATGGTAAATATGTCAATGTCCAATTCTTGTCAATTAACTTACCAGAATTACTGTTTGGTGATCAATCAGGCTTTCAAGTCACAGCCAACCCGCAGAACCCCTGGAACTTATGAGCGGTGCATAAAAACTATCAACATATATCATAAATGAAAACAAAATGTATACTTAGGCAGGAGAATACAACCAGAGTAAAAAAAAACCCAAAAGTCAGTCTGGATAAACTAGAAGACCCAATATAGACAGTAATTGATAAACAAAACTAGATTTATTTATCTCCGAGGAACAGAAGGAAGTCATCAGAGTCAAGCATTAATATCAGAAAATCCTGCAAAATTATTCTAGATTACAGAAAAATAAGCTTCCAGACCATAAAATATTTATAAGGTATGCATAGAATTTTGAGTGAAAATTACTGTAGAGTGAGTGATTGTCACATCAGACTATCAAAAAGTTCAATAATGCCAAAATAGAATACTAGAAAATATATTGTAGGAGTTGAAATCATTAAAATAATTTTTCCTGTTCTAAAAGAGATTAAGTCTGGAGGTTAACCGAAGACTCAAAGAAAATTATAAATCTAAATGTGTATATTAAATATTGGCAGGTAACTACCCCAAAAATGCAAAGTATAATGGCTAAACCAATGGAGACAAAAAGAACAGAAATATTTTAAATGCAAAAAGAAGTTGATGGCTCTCATCAAACTCTGTAAAACTTTAGAGCTTGCAATTTCATTTGCCATTATTGTCAGGTTGTAGTTTGAACACATATAAATAACTAATTTAATAAAGTGTATAAACCCTTTTCCTGTTTCCCTTGAAAATAGTTGCTGGTGGTGTTTGTGGCCATAATGTTTACCCTGAGGTAACTTTGCCACGAAATAGTTCTCTTTTATTATTATTTTCACATAACTCTAGGATATCAACTTTGGAAACAAAAGACATCATTCTATTTATAGTATTCTGGTTTCAGTAGTGGGATTTCCATTTACAAATGGTAGTAATTTTCTATTGCCAAAAATGCCGAATCCTAGAAAACGTAGCATTCTTACTCATGAATTCTCAAACAGTTGCTGGCTGAAGATTCATTTGATGAATTCAATTTTTTCCAAAATAGACAATTCTGATGATTCAGACAATTCTGCTGTTATTTCTGTTTAGAAATAGCTCCAAGAACAGCTGTTATATTTTATTTTCACGTTGAAAACCAGTCAGATTTGCCTCAAAGAGTGTGTTTATGTGAAATTAAATGAACACTGGCACCAAACTCTATTTTTTTTTTCTAAACAGGCAAAAGGGTTAAACAAAATGAATTATAAACTAGCTTCAACTGTCTTCATTATTACATAAACCTTTAATATAGTCTGGTCATTAAATTATTAATATCCATACTATTTTCATTAATTTTTAAGGTACTGAAATTTGGATCTCCTCATTTCCTAAATATGCACATCAAGGAAGAAAATGTTTTTGATTGTTTTATGTTTAAATACTAATTGGGCTCCCCAGGGCATAAACTAAGAAAACAACTAAAAAAAAGTATATTAAGGATGTTGGAATTAAAAGTCAAACTATGTAAAATATTTAAAGATGTTTATTCTGAACCAATATGAGTTATCATGGTCCAGGTACAGTCCAAAAAGGTCCTAAGAATGTGTGCTCAAGGTTGTGTGGTTACAGTTGGTTTTATACATTTTAGGCAGACAGAATTTATAGGCAAAGACATAGATAAATACATACAAGGTATACACTGGTTCAGTCTAGAGAGATGAGATATTGTGAATTTGATGAAGGGGCTCACGGGTCATAGGTGGATTGAAAGATTATCTGTCTAACATTTGGTTGAGAGAGATACACTTTGTCTAAAGACTTAGGAAGTCACTAGAAAGAAATGCTTGAGTTAAGATGAGGGAGTTTGAGGAAGCAACAGTTCTTGGTATGTAGATGAAGCCTCTATATAACAAGAACTCTACATAGCCAACTTCAAAAAGAATAGGTAGTAAATGTCTCTTTTGAGACCTTAAAGGGTATCAGAACCCATTAAATCTCTCCTAAATCCAGGAAAGAACTAGAAAGGGAAGGAGATTTTCTACAGATGCAAATTTATCCCAGAAGAGAGGGCCATTTCAAAATATATCCAAGAAATATATTCTGATGTACAATACTTTTATTTCCTTCAGGGCCTGCTATTTGTCATGTGATGCTATAGCAGAGTCAACTTGGAATTTAGTATCTTATTGCCACAAAGAGTCTATTTGGTCAGTTTCATGATCTCTGTGTTAATGTTAATGCTGGTCAGTTGTGCCTAAACTCCAAAAGAGAGAGGGTATAATGAGGCATGTCCAAACTCCTTTCCTGTCATGATTGAGAACTCCGTTTTTCAGATTTCCCTTGGCCCATAAGGGGTCCACTCAGCTGGCTGGGGAGCTTAAGGTTTTCTTTTTGGTTTACAAGCGGAACTGGGAATTAGAATAATGCATTTAAGGGATTTTTAAGTTCTAGCTTTGACATGTAAAGAGTTTAACAGGTGTCACTCTTATCTTTATAATAACAACAAAAGAACAGACTGAAGTTTTATGATTTTATTGGGCCAATCAGAAAACTGAAGTTGGAGGGAAAAATGACACCCTGAAATCTGGAGAGACACACACATCCAGAGAAATACAGAAACAGATCTGTTTACCTGGAGCAGGAGTGCTGGAGCTATTAACTGGTACAAGCCCTGTAACAGTAATTTTGACGAATCACGGGGAGGCTGGATGTGGGCTAGTGTGAGACTGAGAAGCTTCTGGAAGCTGCAGTCTCAGAAAGCCAGTTGCACTTTCCAGGGCTTTAACTCCAGGAACCCACCAGCTTCTCATTGTAAAGATCCAAATAAGATCCCCATACGACTCTGGAAGAGGAGAGGAAGAGCTATCATTGTGAAATAGCCTAGAATACTGGCCACAAAAAAGTCCACCCTCCAGGGAAACACTTCCTAGGGACTTTTCTCACCCGAGCAAGGGCATTCCTCAACCTCCACTCACTCTGTTCTGACTGTCTCACATAAGGAGAGAAAAAATAAATCTCCGTCAAAGTTACCGCTCATAGTCACAGGCCCATGAAGAGACAGATTTAATCATAAGATTGTAGAAATCTTTCTCTTCTTTGTACTTCACAACACCACCAAGGAGGACCCCATAAAACAGTGATTTAGAGCTTAAATGATTTGAGACAGAGACAGGTGTATCACAGAAACCGAAAGCCAAAGGGAGGCACAAAAACAAGGACGCTGGAGGAACTTGAAGCCAACGGCACTGACAGTAACAGCAAACATTAAATAAAAAGCTAAAATCCTAACCATATTAGCATAAATCATCACAAGAAAGGCCCATTTACCTGAGTTGGTATTAACTGATACAGCATGCTATCATTCTATGAAACCATAAAAGGCAACCAAATGCATGAAAAAATAGAATTTGAAGGTAAAAAAGCAAGCATTAGAAACAGATTCGGACACGATATATAAACGTTGAAATTTTTACCTAAAGAAATTAAAATTGATACAGGAGCTAAAAAGAAATTATTTAGGCAGATAGTGAGGGTAAGAGAGCCTCAGTGGAATTTCCTTTTAATAAAAAGCAGCCCCCAAATCATTTCTTTTCTAAAAAAAAAAATTAGTCTAAAACATCAAGCTACAAACACAGGTAAGCAAACTAGAAGCTTGCATAGGTAAATGCCAGCAACTGTGCAAATAGAAATGGTATAACTGAAAACCAGGTATGTTCAACACGAGGCTCCATCTTCCCTTTACTTTGTCACCATGTGTGCAGTAAAAAGCAGGCAACATGGCGCCGATCAGGTAGAAAACTCATCTGCATAACGAAAGATTAGGGTGGGGTGGCCAGCTTCTTCACACACTGTGTAAATAGCACACCTGGTCCAACTAATCCTTTGCACCCTATGTAAATCAAACACAGCCTTGTCAAAGTCATCTATAAAACCAACCTCATCTTGCCACAAACAGGGAGATCGATTTGGAACACTCTCCCTCTTCATGAGGGAGCTTTTCTCTTTTGCTTGTTAAAATTCTCTTCTTTGTAGAGGCATGATCTCGGCTCACTGCAACCTCCGCCTCCCGGGTTCAAGCGATTCTCCTGCCTCAGCCTCCTGAGTAGCTGGGATTACAGGCACCGGCCACCACACCCTACTAATTTTTCTATTTTTAGTAGAGACCATGTTGGCCAGGATTTTCTCCATCTCTTGACCTCATGATCTGTCTGCTTCAGCCTCCCAAAGTGCTGGTATTACAGGCATGATCCACTGCCCTAGGCCCAAATTTCTGTTCTTAAATTCATTCCTTGTGTGTCTGCACCCTTGCTTTCCTTGGTGTCAGGCAAGGAACCTTGAATATTACCCCAGAAAAACAATGCCATTTCGAAATGACTATAATTAGTATGATAAGGGCTTTAATGAAAAAAATGTAGACAGCATACTAGAATATAAGGATAATGAAAGCAGAGATAAGGTAACTCTAAAGAAAGAATAAAATGCAAATATTAGAAACAATAATAAAGAAAAATTTCAACAGCACTAAAGAATGCCTTCAATGGGCTCAACAGTCAAAAAATCAGTGATCTTAAAGACAGATTGATGGAAACTTTTCAAGCAGAAATACAGAGATAAGAACAAATGGGAATGGAAATGGGGGGAAAGAATATCCAAAAATAGAATTACAAGAACCGTGGAGCAATTACAAATATGTATGTGATTGGAGTACCAAACAGAGAAGAAATAAAGAATGGAGTGGGGTGGCCAGCTTCTTCACACACTGTGTAAATAGCACACCTGGTCCAACTAATCCTTTGCACCCTATGTAAATCAAACACAGCCTTGTCAAAGTCATCTATAAAACCAACCTCATCTTGCCACAAACAGGGAGATCGATTTGGAACACTCTCCCTCTTCATGAGGGAGCTTTTCTCTTTTGCTTGTTAAAATTCTCTTCTTTGTAGAGGCATGATCTCGGCTCACTGCAACCTCCGCCTCCCGGGTTCAAGCGATTCTCCTGCCTCAGCCTCCTGAGTAGCTGGGATTACAGGCACCGGCCACCACACCCTACTAATTTTTCTATTTTTAGTAGAGACCATGTTGGCCAGGATTTTCTCCATCTCTTGACCTCATGATCTGTCTGCTTCAGCCTCCCAAAGTGCTGGTATTACAGGCATGATCCACTGCCCTAGGCCCAAATTTCTGTTCTTAAATTCATTCCTTGTGTGTCTGCACCCTTGCTTTCCTTGGTGTCAGGCAAGGAACCTTGAATATTACCCCAGAAAAACAATGCCATTTCGAAATGACTATAATTAGTATGATAAGGGCTTTAATGAAAAAAATGTAGACAGCATACTAGAATATAAGGATAATGAAAGCAGAGATAAGGTAACTCTAAAGAAAGAATAAAATGCAAATATTAGAAACAATAATAAAGAAAAATTTCAACAGCACTAAAGAATGCCTTCAATGGGCTCAACAGTCAAAAAATCAGTGATCTTAAAGACAGATTGATGGAAACTTTTCAAGCAGAAATACAGAGATAAGAACAAATGGGAATGGAAATGGGGGGAAAGAATATCCAAAAATAGAATTACAAGAACCGTGGAGCAATTACAAATATGTATGTGATTGGAGTACCAAACAGAGAAGAAATAAAGAATGGAGACATACATTTGAAGTACTAATAGACAAGAATTTGCTAAAATTAGTGACAGAGACCTGACCACAGATCTAGGGAGTTCAACAAACACAAAATAAAATAAAACCAAAATATCCACGTTGATAAAGCTACTAAGTGGCGAGTGGCACATACAGCATGGGTACACTGGACACCAGGAGGATTCACGTTCCAGGAAGGGTGGAGAAAGATGGTGGGAAGTTTTATCATGCTATGCACAATGCATAGAATTTTAAATGTATATATATTATTTCTAGAATCTTCCATTTAACATTTCAGGCCACAGTTGACTGCGAGCAACTGAAACCAGGAAAAGTGAAACCACAGATAAAGGGGACAGCTCTATTTTATATGATCCCACTTTATAATCTCCTCTGGCTTGTAAATTTAACACAAAGAAAAATAGTTACAAACATTAATGTAATGACAGCAATATTTCACCCAACTACACCAATGTTAATCTAATTATGCCAATGCTACTTTAAATCTGAATGGTTTAATATAAATAAAAAACAAAGACAGTGGGGTGAATAAAAAAAAAACCCAAATCTTTGTTATCAATAAATAATTTCATTTTAACTAAAGACTTAGATAATTTAAAACTCATGGAATGGTTTTAAAAAGAAAAAGGAAAGACACAATACATGTAAGGAATAGAAGAATCAAATTTCACAATAAATTATGCCTAACATACATAGAATACTTCAGCCCCAAACAGCAGAATGTACATTCTTCTCAAATAAAATTGCACATTCTTGAAGATAGACCATATATTACAGCTGAAAACAAGTCTCATTATGTTTTATAGGATGTATATTCAAATTATCTTCTCTGATTGCAATAAGATGAAATTAAAACAAGCAAACAAACAAACAACAACAACAACAACAAAAACAGAAGAAAACCTGAGGATTTGTTGGCAAGATAGCTGAATAGGAACAGCTCTGGTCTGCAGCTCCCAGCGAGATTGATGCAGAAAGCGGGTGATTCCTGTGTTTCCAACTGAGGTACCCAGTTCATCTCATTGGGACTGGTTGGACAGTGGGTGCAGCCCAAGGAGGGCGTGCCAAAGCAGGGTGGGATGTCACCTCACCCGGGAAGTGCAAGGGATCAGGGAAGTGCAAGGGATCAAGGAAGTGCAAGCTCTTCTAGCCAAAGGAAGCCTTTAGGGATTGTACCATGCACTTTGGCCCAGATAACACGCTTTTTCCATGGTCTTCGCAACCCACAGACCAGGAGATTCCCTCCCGTGCCTACACCACCAGGGCCCTGGGTTTCCAGCACAAAACTGGGCAGCCATTTGGGAAGACACTGAGCTAGTCACAGGAGTTTTTTTTTTCATACCATAATGGAACCTGGAATGCTAATGAGACAGAACCATTCACTTCCCTGGAAAGTAGGTTGAAGCCAGGGAATCAAGTGGCCTGTCTCGGCAGGTCCCACCCCCAAGAAGCCAACAAGCTAAGATCCAGTGGCTTCAAATTCTCATGCCTGCACAGCAGTCTGAGCTCTATCTGGAACACTCGAGTTTGGTGTGGGGAGGGGCATCCGCTATTGCTGAGGCTTAAGGAGGTGGTTTTACCCTCACAGTGTAAACAAAGCTGCTGGGAAGTTAGAACTGGGCAAAGCCCACTGCAGCTCAGGAAGGCCACTGTGGCCGACTGCCTCTCTGGATTTCCTGCTCTCTAGGCAGGGCATCTCTGAAAAAAAGGCAGCAGCCCTAGTCAGGGAATTATAGATAAAACCCCCACCTCCCTGAAACAGGGTACCTGGGGGAAAGGGTGGTTGTGGGCACAGCTTCAGCAGACTTAAACCTCACTAACTGGCAGCTCTGAAGAGAGCAGTGGATCTCCTAGCACAGCATTTGAGCTCTGATAAGGGACAGTCTGCCTCCTCAAATTGTTCCCTGACCCCCCTGTATCCTGACTGGGAGACACCTCCCAGTAGGGGCTGACAGGCAACTTACATAGGAGAGCTCTGGCTAGCATCTGGCGGGTGCCCTTCTGGGACGAAGCTTCCGGAGGTAGGAACAGGCAGCAATCTTTGCTGTTCTGCAGCCTCTGCCAGTGATATGCAGCCAAACAGGGTCTGGAGAGTACCTCCAGCAAACTCCAGCAGACCAGCAGCAGATGGGCCTGACTTTTAGAAGGAAAATTGACAAAGAGAAAGGAATAGTATCAACATCAACAAAAAGAACGACCACTCAGAGACCCCATGTGAAGGTCACCAACTTAAAAGACCAAAGGTAAATAAATCCATGAAGATGGGAAGAAACCAGCGCAGAAAGGCTGAAAACTCCAAAAACCAGAATGCTGCTTCTCCTCCAAAGGATCACAGTTCCTCACCAACAAGGGAACTAAATTGGATGGAGAATGAGTTTGATGATTTGACAGAAGTAGGCTTCAGAAGGTGGGTAATAACAGACTCCTCTGAGCTAAAGGAACATGTTCTAGCCCAATGCAAGAGAGCCATGAACCTTGAAAAAAGGTTAGACGAATTGCTAACTAGAATAACCAGTTTAGAGAATAACATAAATGACCTGATGCAGCTGAAATACATAGCTCGAGAACTTGGTAAAGCATACACAAGTATCAACAACCGAATCAATCAAGAGGAAGAAAGGATATCAGAGACTGAATATCAACTCAATGAAATAAAGTGAGAAGACAAGATTAGAGAAAAAAGAGTGAAAAGAAACAAACGAAGCCTCCAAGAAATATGGGACTATGTGAAAAGACCAAATCTATGTTTAATTAGTTAGCGTACCTGAAAAGGTACACCTCACCTGAAAAGGTACACTAATAAACTTCAGCAAAGTCTCAGGATACAAAATCAATGTGCAAAAATCACAAGCATTCCTAAACATCAGTAATAGACAAACAGAGCGCAAAATCATGAGTGAACTCCCATTCACAATTGCTACTAAGAGAATAAAATATCTAGGAATAAAATTTACAAGGAATGTAAAGGACCTCTTCAGGGAGAACTACAAACCACTGCTCAAGGAAATAAGAGAGGACACAAACAAATGAAAAAACATTTCACGTTCATGTATAGGAAAATCAATATTGTGAAAATAGCCATACTGCACACAGTAATTTATAGATTCAGTGCTATCCACATCAAGCTACCACTGACTCTCTTCACAGATTGGAAAAAACTACTTTAAATTTCATATGGAACCAAAGAAGAGCCCACATAGCAAAGACAATCCCAAACAAAAAGAACAAAGCTGGAAGCATCAGGCTACCTGACTTCAAACTCTACTACAAGGCTACAGTAACCAAAACACCATGGTACTGGTACCAAAACAGATATATAGACCAATGGAACAGAACAGAGGCCTCTGAAATAATGCCACACATCTACAACCATCTGATCTTTGACAAACCTGACAAAAACAAACAATGGTGAAAGGATTCCCTATGTAATTAATGGTGTTGAGAAAACTGGCTAGTCATATGCAGAAAGCTGGAATTAGATCCCTTTCTTACACCTTATACAAAAACTAACTCAAGATGGATAAAGACTTAAATATTAGACCTAAAACCGTAAAAACTCTAGAAGAAAACCTAGATATGACCATTCAGGACATAGGCATGGGCAAAGACTTCATGACTAAAACACCAAAAGCAATGGCAACGAAAGCCAAAATCAACAAATGGAATCTCATTAAATTAAAGAACTTCTGCACAGTAAAAGAAGCTATCATCAGAGTGAACAGGCAACCTACAGAATGGGAGAAAAATTTTGCAATCTATCCACCTCACAAAAGGCTAATATCCACAATCTACAAGGAACTTAAACAAATTTACAAGAAAAAACAACCTATCAAAAAGTGGGCGAAGGATATTAACAGAGACTTCTCAAAAGAAAACATTTATGCATCCAACAAACATATGAAAATAAAGCTCATCATCACTGGTCATTAGAGAAATGCAAATCAAAACCACAATGAGATACCATCTCACACCAGTTAGAATGGCGATAATTAAAAAGTCAGGAAACAACAGATGCTGGAGACGATGTGGAGAAATAGGAACACTTTTACACTGTTGGTAGGAGTCTAAATTAGTTCAATCATTGTGGAAGACAGTGTGGCGATCCCTCAAGGATCTAGAACTAGAAATACCATTTGACCCAGCAATCCTATTACTGGGTATATACCCAAAGCATTATAAGTCATTCTACTATAAAGACACATGCACACATATGTTTATCACAGCATTGATCACAATAGCAAATATTTTGAGCCAACCCAAATGCCCCTCAATGATAGACTGGATAAAGAAAATGTGGTACATATACACCTTGGAATACTATGCAGCCATTAAAAAGAATGAGTTCATGTCCTTTGCAGGGCCATGGATGACATTGGAAACCATCTTTCTCAGCAAACTAACACAAGAACAGAAAACCAACACAGCATGTTCTCACTCATAAGTGGGAGTTGAACAATGAGAACACATGGACATAGGGAGGGGAGCATCACACACTGGGTCCTGTTGGAGGGTGAAGGGCCGGGAGGAGGGATAGCATTAGGAGAAATACCTAATGTAGATGACGTGTTGACGGGTGCAGCAAACCACCATGGCACATATATACCTATGTAACAAACCTGCACGCTCTGCACATGTACTCCAGAACTTAAAGTATAATTTAAAAAAAGAAAATCTGTAATAATTCACAAATGTGTGGAAATTTTTAAACACACTCAACCATTGAGTCAAAAAGAAATCACAAGAGAAATTTAAAAAAAATTAGTAATGACTAAAATTTAAAAAACCACAACATATCAAAACTTTTTGGAACAGTGAAAGCAGTACTCAGAGGGAAATTGGTAGCTGAAAATGCCTACATTGAAAAAAAGAAAGATCTTGGATCAATAATCTAACTTTACATTTTAAGCAAGTAGAGAAAGATGAGCAAATTAAACACAAGCTAGCTGAAAAAAAAAATCAAATAATGCTGAAAAAAAAACTAGGTATCCAAATATAAAAGAATGAACATGGTCAACCACACCCAAATATTAGTACAAAAAAAAAAAAAAAATCAAAGTCCAAAATATAAGACGTAAAACTGTAAAATTTCTTAGGAGAAAACGTTGGGGACATTTTCTTGGACATTAGTGTGGGCAACTTTCATGGATCAAGCAAAAGAAAAAATTGATAAATTGAGTTTGCACTTTTGTGCATCAAAAGTTACTATCAAGGAAGCAAAAAGACGACCAACTGAATGGAAGACACTGTTGCAAATCATATTATCTGATAAGAGATTACTTTTCAGAATATGCAAAATAACTTCTAACATTCCACGACAGCAACAACAAAATAAACAACCCAATTCAAACATGGGCAAAGGATTTCATAGAAATTTTTCCAAAGAAGATATGCCAAGGGCCAATAAGTTCATGAACATATTCTCAACATTATTAGTCAGTAAGAAAATGCATATAAAACCACAATAAAATATAGCAAGTGTTGGCGTGTAGGATGTGAAGAAATAAGAAAACTTTTGTATTGCTGATAGCAGTGTAAACCAATGCAGCCATTGTGGAAACCAGTTTCCTAAAAATTTAAATATACAACAACCCATATGAGTCAGCAATTCCATATTTCATTTTTTTGGTATCTATGCGGAAAAGCTGAAAGTAAAAACTTGAACAAATATGTGTACACAAATATTCATTGTTGCATTATTCAGAATAGCCAAAAGATGAAAAGGACACAGGTGTTTATAAAAAGAAGAATGGACAAGCAAATATGGCATAGTCATATGATGGAATATTAATCAGCCATTAAAAAGAAAAAAATTCTTATGCATGACGTAATATGTCTGGACCTTGATAACATTTTGCGAAGTGAAATCAGCCAGACACAAAAGGGCAAATATTGTAATTCCACTTGTATGTTGTACCCAGAATAAGCCAATCCAAAGAGGCAGAAAGTAGAATTTAGGTTACCAGGAGCTGAGGAGGAGAAAAGAGTGAAAAGTTATTGCTTAACTGGTACAAACTGTTCTTAGGGATGATGAAAATGTTTTTGGTATAGACAGTGGTAATGAGTTCACAACATTGTTAAGGTATTTATAAAATACCTCTGAGTTGTACACTTAAAAATGGTTAAAATGATAAATATTAAACTATGCATGTTTTACCACAATAAAAAGTAACTGGCAAAACAGATACAGCAATATATAAAAATATTATATACCATGACAAGGTGGAATTTTTATCATGAATTCAGTTTTGTAATTTTTTAAAATACAGCAACATATACAAATATATTAGGTACCATAGAAAAGGGAATTTTTTTTCTTACGTATGCAAGGCTTTGTTTCGTATTTTATTGTATGTAATACACCATAAAAAGGACAAAGGGCAAAACCACATAATCGTCTTAATACACAGAGAAGAAGTTTGACAAATCCAATATCCTTTCAGAATTGAAACACCCAACAAACTAAGAATTGAAGGTAACAAAAGAAAAATAAAAGAAAAAGGAATTGAAAGTGACAAAAGTAAAATGTCTGCTCTTGCCTCTTCTAGTCAACATTGTGTTACACATTCCAGCCAAAGAAATTAGGCAAAGAAGAAAGATATTTTGATTAAAAAATAATAATAATAATAAAAAATAAAAAAGGAAGGCAGCAAGGAAGGCAAAAAGGAAAGAAGGAAAAAAGAAAGGAAAGAAGGATCTCTATTTGCAGATGAAAGTTCTCAGTAATTTGTTCAGAAAAAGCTATTTGAAACAATAATAAAGTTAAACAAGGTTTCAGGATAAAAGATTATTATAAGAAATATTTCTATAAAGTAGCAATGAACAATGGAATTATGAAAAACTTCCATTTGCAATAGCATAAAAATAACAGCATATTAGTCAGGGTTCTCTAGAGGGACGGAACTAATAGGATATAAGTATGTATGAAGGGGAGTTTATTAAGAAGTATTGACTCACATGATCACAAGGTAAAGTCCCACAATAGGCTGCCAGCAAGCTGAGGAACCAGTAAGCCAGTTTTAGTCTCAAAATCTCAAAAGCAGGGAAGCTGACGATGCAACCTTCGGTCTGTGGCCAAAGGCCTGAGAGCCTCTGGCAAACCACTGTTGTAAGTCCGAGAGTCCAAAAGCTAAAGAACTTGGAGTTTGATGTTCAAGGGCAGGAAGCATCCAGCACTGGAGAAAGATGAAAGCCGGAAGACTCAGCAAGTCTGCTCTTCCATCTTCTCCTACGTGCCAGCTCCATGCTGGCAGCTGACTAGATGGTGCCCAATCAGACTGAGGATGGGTCTGCGTCTCCCAGTCCACTGACACAAATGTTAATCTCCTTTGACAACAGCCTCACAGATACTTCCAGGAACAATACTTTGCATCCTTCAATGCAATCAAGTTGACACTCAATATTAACCATCACAAACAGGAATACATTGAACACAAAAAGTGTGAGAGTTTCATACTGAAAACTATAAAACATTGTTGAGAAAATGTAAAGGAGATCTAAAGAAATGAAAAAGATATTCATACTTCCTGGATAAGAAGACAATATTGTTAAAGTGGCAGCACTCCAGAAATTATTCTACAGATTAAACACTATCCTTGTCAAAATCAGTCTGCTTTTAGTTTTGTTTTCTAAATTATTTATTATTTATTCATTTGCTTTTTTATTTATTTATTTTCATTTTATCTTAGTTCCTTGAGTCGACGTCTTGCTCTGTCAGCCAGGCTGGAAGGTAGTGACACAATTATGGCTCACTGCAACCTCAAACTTCTAGGTGGTAGTGATCTTCCCGCTTCAGCCTCTGAAGTGGCTGAGACTACAGGCACATGCCATCATTTGTGGATAACATTTTTTAAATTTTTAATAGAACTTGGGGTCTCAATATGTTGCCCAGGCTGGTCTCGAAATTTTGGCCTCACCTGATCTTCCTACCTTGGATTTCCAAACTGCTGAGACTATATACATGAGACAGCTCCCAGCCTGCTTTTAATAGAGACTGACAGACTTGTACTAAAATTTCATGTGGAAATTCAAGTTGCCAATAACAGCCAAAATAGTCTTAGAAAAAGAAAACTACTTTGAAGGATTCACATTCCCTAGTTTTAAAATTTACTACAGAAAACAAGACAGGATGGTAGAAGAATAAGAACAGACATACAGATTAATGGAATATATTTCAGTTCAGAAATGTGCCCTTATACTTATGGTCAATTGATTTTTGACAATGGTGCCAAGATAACTCAAGAAAACAAAATAATTCTTAGAATAAATGGTGCTGGGACAAGAGGACATCCACACACAATAGAATGAATTTGGACCCTCTACCTCACATCATGTACAGAAACTAACTCAAAATTAATCACAGACCAAGGTAGAAGGGCTAAAAATATAAAACTCTCAGTATAAAACAGAATAAGTCTTCATGGCCTTGGCTTTAGCAGTGGTTTATAGATATGATGCTGAAAGCGTAAGTGGAAAAAGGAAAAATGAATAAATTAGACTATATCAGAATTAAAAACGTTTGTACTTTAAATAATACCATTAAGAAAGTGAAAAGAAAACCCAGATGATGAGATGAAATATTTACAAATCATATATTTGATAAGGGTCTTATATCCTGAATAAGAAAAGAGCCCTTAGAAATCAATAATGCATGAACAAATGACCTCATTAAAAAATAAGCAAAGAATCTGAATAGACATTTCTCCACAGAAGATATACAAATATCAAGTAGACACATAAAAAAAATGATGAACATCATAAGTCATCATAGGGAAATGCAAATCAAAATCACAGTGAGATTCCCCTTCAAATCTACAAGACCGGTAATTTTTAAAAGATAGTTAATTATAAGTGTTGGTGAGGAGCGAGGATAGAAACTGGAACACTTATACATTGCTGCTGGCAATGTAAAATAGTGCAGTTACTTAGAAAACACTTTAGCAACACTGCAAAATCTTAAAAATAGAGTTAGCGTTAGCGTATAATCTAACAATTCTACAAATTCTACATATATAACTGAGAAAAAATAAAAACATAATTTCACAAAAAAAATGTGTACATAAATGTTCATAGAAGTATTATTTAATAATAACTCCTAAATGGAAACAACACTAATGTCTACCAATTGATACAAAGATAAATAAATTATAATATAATCATATTATTAAAAGGAATAAAATACTGATATATGCTACAGTATGGATAAACCTTGAAAACATTACACTAACTGAAAGAAGTCAGTCACAACAGACCCCATGTTGTGTGATTCCAATTACATGGAGTATCCACTATGGCAAATCTTAGAGAGACAGAAAGTAGGTCTGTTGTTGCTTAGAGCTGGGCTTGGAGTCAGAATGAGAACTGATTCCTAATGAGGTTGCTTTTGGGAGAGATAGTTGGTTTTTTTTTAATTGGATTGTGATTATGAATACATAACTCTGTAATATACTAAAATCCATGTAAACTGCTCACTTTCAAATTAGAAATTTTACGGCATGTGAATTATATCTATGTAAAGTCATTAATAAAAATAATATTACTTGCTTTAGGAATAGTATAAGAAACAAATGTATTTAGTGATAAAAATATGCTCAATAATAAAATATTTTTATTATCTTTCCTTTTGTATTATGCATGCTAGCATTCTTCTCTACTAATCTATTGAGTTGTTATAATATAATCACTACTTAAAAAAAAAAAAGCAAATACTAAATAATGATTTGGAGTCTAGGTTCAGTTACTTGCTCTTGCCCTAAACTATCTCCTGTATTAATGCCTTAAGTATTGTACTTTTCAGAAAACTTCTTTAACAATGTATTAACATTGCTGATGAATATCTTGGCAACAGTAGGGTTTTTGTACTAGTCAAATGCTGCAATTACTTTTTGAGTTTGCTTTTTATGTGGGTAATGTAAATATTCAATTTCCCCTAATTGTACAAAACTACCAGATCCCCATAGGTGAAATCAGCTATCTCTATGGTACTGGTGAATTTTCTATCTATGCCTACGCCATTTTCCAGGTTACCAAGAGTGATAAGATAATAAAAGTGAAGTTACTGAGAGTAGTGAATAAACCACCTACTATGGTGGTTTATATATGGTGGTGTATATATAATATACACTTTAAGTTTCAACCTTTAATCAATAATGCTTATGAAGTTGACAAAATGCCTTTCAAAGTAAAATAATCTACCTAGAGATGTTAGCTAGTATATAACTATGATTACTGATACATTTTCTACCCTGATAAACATTATTTTAAAAAATACAGAGTATAATTTTCTATATAGATATATAAGTACAGGAATCATTGATATTTTAATGCCTCAATTATCCAAGGAAACAATGAGTAAATCATTATTGCAATCAATTAAATACAATTGTTGATATTCAAAATTTTTTTTTTCTTAAATGACTTGGAATCTTTTCTAAAGTGTAGTAATTAACCCTCTGTCTTCGGAACATAGATCTGAATCTTCTGAAATTACTTTGTTACACTCTTTGACACACTGCAAATTTTTTATAATAAATGTATATTTTAATTTTGAGAAACAGAGATAGATCATGCAATTCTTGTCCTCTACTCACTAAACAGAGAGAGTGAAAAAAGTGAAACATATGTAAAAAATTGTATTTTGTAAAAGTAAAAAATCTAAATATGAGAATCAAAATTTTTATTTTAAACATATCTGTTTTGTTTGTTTTTTAATTTGAAAAAAATAACACAATGCAACCACAAGGGCTCTTGTCGTTGTTCACCTTCTGCTCCTATCTAGGAGCAAGAAGACAGAAAACCTGGAAAAGCTACTACCTTAATCCCAGCAATCAAGCAACAGCAAAGGACCGTTCATTTCTGACCAAGAAAGAGCTGGCAGATGAGAAAGGTTAACAACAAAAGGGCTAATTTGTTATGATTTGTGTGACTTATCCCGGCAGGAATCTGGCTTAAGATTCAGAACCTCAGCCAATCATTGGAATGAACTGTCTACTAAAATGAATGTAAGTATTGACATCTCCTTTCAAAATAAGACATGAAAAGTAAGAGAAAACAATTTCATATAAACCGTTTTCTTCATTGTACAAATAATCTATACATTTATGATAGGAAATTTTCTTTAAAATGTCTCTTCTCAAATGTTATTTATTATTAGATTTTATGATAGCACAAAATTACTTCTAGATAAATACACCTAAACTCTGTAATTAATGCCTATCAAAATACTCAATATGAGTATTTTCATATAATTGATAATTATTTTGACAAATGTATTCATGTTGATATAATTTTCTTTGTTTAGTGAAATTCTGAGTATACTTTTGTTTTCTACTTTTATGTTTGCAAAAGTATCAAATAAAGATGTATTTTTATGAAAAAAAATCAACTTTACTGTTGTCAAGGTTTTGCTTCTCCAGCTTCTTAAATGTAATCTCTTTCTCTCGCTCTCTTGTTCCGCTTTCATATATGGATATGTATTATATATGTGTATCTGAAAGTTTTAAAACTTCAGACAAAAGATATTGAGTAAATAAAAATTATTATTACAGAGATAAATTTCTCATATTTTGAACTGCATCTTTTGCCCCCAAAATATTTAAAGAACAGCTAAGAAAAAGCTTATCAAAGACTTTTTAGTGCCTCAACTTAATGAAATTGCTACAACCCCGGCTAGAAATGCAATTCTAAACATAATTTTGTCAGAATAATCCTCAGTAACTATTGTTTAAATGGAAATATCCATATTATTAGTTAGTAGGTTCTCTAAGACTGACACCTGTATGTAGTTGATGTATCAGGTGTTTCTTCAATAATTCTTGCAGCTCCTCCATTGCATATATCAAGTAATAATAAATAACAACAATAATAACAACAACTACAACAATAGCAGCAAAACCCTTCCTATGTGCCAGGCATTGTTCAAAATGCTTTACATTAATTAACTCATTTAATCATCAAGATGATCCTATAAAATATAGTAACCCCAATTTATGGATGAGGAAACTGGACATAAAAGTTTGAATAATTTCCCGAAGTCACATAACACGTTAAATGATGGGGCAAGGATTGACTCCTAGAATAATATTTTCAAGCTAAGCTTTTTACCACTGTGTGCTACTTTGTGTCTTCCTATAACACACACACACATGCATTTGCACACACAAACACGTGTGGCTTTATTTAAATTTTCTTTAAGCTCCAAACTTCTCA